AGAAGCACTTCAGTTTATGTTTATTAAGCAAAGAATAGAATTTAATATAAATTTATTGATACATAAAATGATAAAGAGACTATATCCGAATTATTTGACCAGGAAAATAGAAATCGTGCAAAGAGAGGGCATAATACTGACAAGGCAAGAAGGAAAATTGTATGTTGATAGATATAAGACAAGAGAAGAACAAAAAATGTTACTGCACGCGTGATGGATTTAAAACATATAATAACCTATCACAGAAGATAAAAATGGAACAAAATTTACAAGGTTATAGAAAGGAATTAGCATATTAGACAAAATACATATTAGACAATATTAGATAAACCTGCCTTGTTGACTAAATATGGCCTTCTTCATTCATTTATATCGAAAAAAATTTGACCTTTTTACGTTTATCAAATCATTATCCAGACAGCAAATTAATGTTATTTGTTAAAATAATGACAAATAATGTCAACACGCTACCTGGGTAATAATAGTAATGTGTATTTAAAAAACAAACAAACTTTGAAATGTTAACTACATTGTCTTATTAAATACCAAAAGATCTACATCGAATTAAATAATACATTGGTAAACTAACTAAAAACTCTTTACTAACTGCCTGAGAGAATTTATCCGTGGAAAGATACGCGGCCATCGTTGATGCCATTCCCAAAGGAACTTAAAGTTTGCATCAAAGCTAAAGGTCATTTTGAATGTTAGGTGTTATTTTTTTATATTTATTAAGATAAAATCAATACTCTGGAATTTGCTTTTTTAAATAAATATATGTTATTAATGATTTGACAAGCACACACAACTTTATGATCGAACTTTTCTGTCATCCTGTATATCTTGTATGAATTACACGGTGTATTTAGTGTAGTTTTGAGAAATAATTCATATTCATCAGATGCGTATGAAAAGTTATGCAGAGTGTCGAGTTTAATAACATGTTTGCAATTAATTTTGGCGCTTAAAGGTGATGCAAGACACGGTGTGCGAAGATATATCGTTATTTCAGTAGATATAGATACTGCTATAGAGATATAGGTATATGTATGTATAATAACATCGATTCTCTTCGCGCTACAACTTCAATGGAACGTCGCAACGTTCTTGCGGTATCTTCTCCACCCGCCCGCGACGAACTCGAGTTTGGCAAATTGGCTTCTCGACTTACAATCAACCGCATTCCGCAAACGTGTTACACGTCCGCTCGATATCTATAATTCTCATACAATGCTTGTCGAGAGAAACATCAGACTATCAATATCCGGATTGCATTTACATATTATGCACATTGCACACACAATTGTATCGCGATTGATGCATTAAGAAATTCGAGTGAATTTACTCACGAAATCGATTTTCTTTGCCCTGCTTTTGCTTCTGTCTCTCTCTCTCTCTCTCTCTCTCTCAGTAGCAGCCAATGATCAAAGTAAATTATAGAATTGTAGGATGAAAATAATCGTCTATAGAACAAATTCGACGTCGATATAAAAAGCAATTTGTATTTCCACGTCTATCGCGTTGTACAATGAATTATCGACCCTTTCATTCCAGCGTGATAAATATTACCTCTTTTACCGCTTCAATGAAAGTATCTCTTTCAAATAAATTCTGATTTCATCGATATTTTCGAAACATGGTTTATTACAAAAAGCTGTAATTTATGCAGTTTCTATTGGCGATACGTGTGTAACAGTGATTTGGCGAATAAATAATGGATTTAGAGTGCACAGTCGCAATAATGTATATGAAGAATCGTTCGAATTTACTCGTTATAATGTTACAGTCGTAATTAACTTTTGTTCAACGGTAACATACAGAAATCGGGACAAAATCAAAAGATATACACGGACAAATCAACAAATGAAGTCGGCTACTTGCAAATAATCCGTCGCTTAAAAATTCAATTTTCCGCGACGTTCGTAAGAAAGTTTATGTCTCTCGATGAAATTTCCAAACACTTCATTTCTCGATTCTTGGGACAGAGGTGGCACACGATAAAAGTCATCGGGAAGAGCAAGGAAACGCCATTGGGAAACGAGGAAAATTTGTTCTGCTAATTCAAGCAATGTTTATTCTCCCAAAGCTAACAGCCGGCAGAACCTAGACGCGTTAATTACCGAGCATGTCTAATTCAGTTTGTAGTTTTTCGAGGTCTAACAGTGTCGCAAAATTATATCAAAGTTTTTTACTTATATGCAAATATATACATAAAGTTATATACGTACTTCTATCAAGCTCGACAACTTATCTCAATATTTAGTTTAATCAGTTCATCTACATGGAACTTGTAATAAATTAACTAGTTCTATCTATGTTAATTAATCTTAAGTAAAATAATCCTAAATGGACCGACCTAAAGCACAAATTATTAAAAACATTATTTTAATCTTTGTATACGGTTTCAATAATAAAGCTAAGTAAACTACTCTTAATTTCTAACAGATTTCTGCTTGAAATGCAATTTCACGATATAGGAAAAAGCTGTAAAAAGAATTTTCTTACATTGGCAATGTGTCTGTATATATGTAACATTATGGCCTCATATTATACATCATTTCTGGACGTAGCAAAATTTCAGGTAATTTATATACGGTTTACTCGTGAAGCGTGTTTATGACGAACGAGTGAATTTCCGCTACATGTCCGACACGACATTCGATCGATATCTTCTTTAAGGAACATTCTAAATAAAGTAAATCTTGCAATATTTCTAAATAACCAATATACAAAATAACCCAAAATTAAAAAAATACATATTTTCAAAATTTCTTAGCTTCTTAGTTACAAATTAAACGTTTTAAAAATGTGCAAAACAATTACAAATCTTATAAAATCTGGAAAGGAAAGTGAGTCAAGTTACAAAAAAAGTCAAATCCCTATTCTGACAAGACTAGATTTACTATATGTAAGATAATTTTTATATATGTGTATAATTTACTCTATACGCATATAATTTTTCCTTTTATTATTTTTCATAAAACTCGCTTTATTTATTTCCCTCTATATGTTTATTATTTTATTTTCATTTGAATTTGACACAGAGATAAAAGAGGGGAAAAGACATTGTTTTTTTTCCAATAAATAACTAAGCGTGGTATAACGGAAATATACATATAGTCTGTAATTTTTTAAAATTAAAGGATAATAAAAAGATTTCAAAAGCATAAAAATTCTGCCAAATCAATATTAACTGTTTTGACGGAAAATAAAAGTTACAAACGTTTCATTATCAGTTCCAAAATCAGCTAAAATACTTTCTCCAGTTCAAAATCAGTCACTTTGCACTTTATTTTAATAAATAAAAATTATATTTTTTTCTTATACTATATTATACACGTTTTGTTGACTAAAATAATGACCTTAAACTTTAAAAAATAATCTTATTGATAGATTGAATAAGAAAATTATACGAATTTTTTCACCGAAAAGACTTTAAGTGGCGTTAACGATTTTTGCCGATGGACTACTCAATTCGAGCGAATGAACGCTTTGCGATCTTTTAACAAGGAAAATGTTGGATTGTTGAAGTGAATCGCAATCCGCAAATTGCTCGACAAAGCTACAGCGAAGCCTAGTTTGATATAAGAACAACTTGAAATTCCCGACCTCAACAATCAAATTGTTCGTTGCTCCTACCGACTGTACTCGATTTAATGCAATTCAGCATACATATAGCGAATTATGAATAACTCGGTATGTCGATAGAGTTCGCTCTGAAATTATTGGCAGAATGCCTTTCGCCGAACGATCTCGAGCGATCTGGTTTAAAGCGCTTTATTCATGAGTCCATTCATTGCATGGAAATCAACTGGAATGCGATAGCGGTCTGTGGTATTTAAGAATACATCGGAATACACGAGAAGCGATCCTACCTTTCAGTAATTCTGGGCAGATATTACGTTACGGAATTCATCTTATCACGCAAAATGTCGCATAACATGACTTTTTCTTAGCAATGGTGTCCCCTTTTTTCTTAAGAAAAAAAGAATACATATTTCAAGTATAGTCACTCTTTTTTAATTTTCTTATAAATGTTCGGCAAATTATTTTAGATCGCAACTTTTAACCAACTATACCACAAGATATCTTAAAACGTTGAAATTAATTATCGAACGTTCTAGCGACAAACTTGTATTATAATTAAATAAAAAAAAAACTAGCGCGTTTTACTCGTAACAGATCATATCCTGTAAAAGCTAGTTAACTCGAAGCTCATTAAATCGCAATATTTCATCGAAAATTGGGTCTACCTTACAGTATTTTATTCGTGATATACATTTCGATATAATCGCGTCCGTGCGCGAGCGCGTGTGTGGAAAACAATACATTGTGTCGGTGTGGCCCATTTTACTGACACATCTGCGTTTTGTTCGAATGAGCGACAGAGTGTCGTTGCATCGCTTTAAGTTTATTCCGGCCAACAGGAAATAGCAAAAAAATATTCGTTCATCCATCGTGTTAGATTACATTCACAGGACTTTATTTAGATGCCTGAAACATGTATTTGTGCACTTACACCTCGAAGTAATCGGCTTTAAATTCTGATTATCGATGCAATCATCTATTTCATTCAATCGCCAAATTACTGAACGTGAATTGAAAATTTTAGTCAAAAAGGAGGATATGAACGACCGTAGAATATTTACCTAAAACTATAAAATATAATTTCATTTCCGTCGTCTATTTTACAATTTCATTTTTTAAAAATGATCCCTATTTTCAAATTATTTACGTTTCGTAATATCTTCTTTAATAAGAGATAAGACAAAATTTTTAGAGCTTTTTCTCACATTACTATTATTATGTTCTTTTCATAACAAATTTCCCAATTGCTAAAATAATTTGTCTTTTATAAAAATAAATTCACAACCGAGAGAGAGACGCAGTTAAACATCAGTTGACGTAAAATATCTCGCGCGACTCGGTCTTCTCTAGATTTTTCGTGAAAAAAGTTGGTATTATAATAATAATAATAATAAATATAAGATTGTATTCACCTGTCTGATGCAAGAGGAACGTTATCAGAGGTAGCACGGCGTGCAGCCATCCTCCTCGATGATCCTTCATACTGGGTATTTCTGTGAGCGGTATCGTACGGTTCTCTTCTTATCCTTCTCCGTCTCCGCGACAGTGACGACGACGACGACGACGACGACGACGACGACGACGACGACGACGACGACGACGACGACGACGACGACGACGACGACGACGACGACGACGACGACGACGACGACGACGACGACGACGACGACGACGACGACGACGACGACGACGACGACGACGACGACGACGACGACGACGAAACTGATCTCGTTGTGTCACACTCGCCGTTCTTTTATTGACAGTTACTCACTGCAGCATCCCGGCACTGAACAACATCCGTGAACGACGTACACATCACCGTCATTCTCTCGTAACTAATCGCGCACACCACTCGTTTGTCGCCACGCTGTGCATCACATGTCGACTCCGATAAAGTCCATCACTTGCCCCACGACAATCGTCGGCTGTTAGTCGATTATTGTTTTCTGGTCGATCCGTTCGCAACAACGCACAAAACTTCCCTACCAAATTTTTTGTTTTCGAGATAACTCTCCGTTAACGTCGCGCTATTCTCTTTTGTGGCTCTTTCTGTGAATCTGCGCTCTTGTGGATATTTAAACGAATCGACAGGCTATCAATGCCTGAAATACTTTGACAAGGATCGTCATGCTCCGGTGGTCGTCGACGAACAATGCTCGCTTTCTCCTGCTTCTCTCTGTACCAAGTGTCCGTGTACGGAAATTGTTTTTTTTTTTCATTCAAGATCACTCATGAATAATCTCCTTTGTAATCTTAGATTTCTTCCATTTTCTCTTTGTGACAATTTTCTTCTCGCAATGCTTCGCAAAATGCGCAATACTGTAACAGTTGAATTTTCACGCTTTTGATGCTCGAGTGGTGAAATCATGGAACGACGTCATCGTAAGTGCACAGCCGGAATTTCATTTGCCAACGCTCGCTCTTACCCACGTACAAGTTCGTGACACGCGGTTGACGATTATTGTCAGTTTAACGAAGCACATACGGCACCGCCCGCATTCGGGCTTGCCCAGAATTGTCGAGAAACGAGGTTGATTTTCGCGGTGGATTTAAAACGAACGACTTTGCGACTCACGTGTTCTCTTGGATCTTATATTTTTCAAGATTTTTCTGTATACCCGCGAGAGAATTCTTTTCTCCAGTAACCTCGCTAAAGTTTTCACGCAACTTTGTTGTGCGCTTCAGTAATTAGGACTATCCTCGAAATTTACTCGCTATACGTTTTTTTTATTCACGAGTTACGTGCCATTCTTCAAGTCCGTGTAATGATACCCAAGAGATCGCCCGACTTTTCTAAACTCACATTGAAAGTAATTAATTACCGTGAGGCATGCGCGTCTTCGTACTTTAGATACTACGTTAATTACCTCTTTTCCGATTTACTTCTTAATTGCTCGTACACCACGATTTATGCACTCTGGCACGTATCCCCCGAGCCTTTACACTCGGCTCTATTTGATATGGCGTGTCAATATAGAAAGACCGTTTTTTCGGTTCACATCGAACGGGCTTTGAATCACGATGAGATGCCCCGTGACGCGTTAAACTACTCGATTTTCAAGTATCGACAAATATTTACCAAATCCGACACTATTCCGAATCGTTTTCGCAATGACGTCACGCAATCACGAAAATCGACCTCGTTCGCAAAAAAAAAAAAAAGAAAAAAATTTAAGGAAATCCGCACTTTATCGAGCGGAGCACTCTCGTGTAAGCACATACAATCACTTATTTCGAGTAACACACTTGTTTCTAATTTCCCAATTAGCCCTTGTTCCCAGTTCTTCCGACGCTCGAGTCAGGCATTCCAAGTCAACTTCACAAGATCGATGTACGAGTTAGGGTCGTAATTGACATGAGGCGTCTCGAGATCTGTTTCGAGGCAGGCACTAAGAATGACCCAGCGCTTTTCGCTTCACACCTCGAGACATCGACTCTCTCGATAGAATTGCATTATGTATCAGACACGCTACGTGCAGCGCGCGAAGTTTTACGACCCGGCATTATCGATTGTCCGAACGACCAGCCCAGGTATACGCTTTAATTCATCGACGAGCACATCGTTTATGCCGCAACCTCTGCGCCGCGACAACCCGCTTTTCAGAAATTCGCAAGACATAGAATAAATCTGTTCTCAGCAGACGAATCTTTGATTATCCGAAATTAAGGGCAATCGAGCGATTCTCTATGTTTTCTTTTCTGTCATCGGCAATTCTGTCGTCATGTAGAATCACAGTTTCAAATCTCCACAGATTTGTTGCAGCGCGTGATTGAAACAGCTTCCGTGCGCGTTGGTGGAATCTAATGCGCCAAGTTTAAAGCTCTTCAAGGAGCTCACGTCAATGATTTGATCGATCTGAGATGAGGACAAGAGCGCTTGGATTTTAGACGGTCTTCTAATCCTGGGCTTAAGAAACCTCCATCTTCGGTTGGCAGCGTGTCATCACGTTCCCTTCCATAGGTTGCGCTCCATTAACCCAAAGCAGGAACGTACATTAATCGTCGGTTAATTTTTAATTTTCAGTTTCATGAAATTTCTTTCGTCGTCACTCACATTTCGTTGCGTGAACGTTTCCGATCGTAGAAAAATGGCAGTCTCTTCGTAGAAACATTCTGCAACAAGAATGAAAAGTTGCTCGTATTAAACTTACAATCGATTAAATAAATTCGATCTGATGGTTATTTATTAACAAACATTATTCTTATATTATAATTTTACTTATTGTTACATTATTAATTCTTATACATAATCGTAGTAATTTTCTTGCTTAATTGGACGATAAATAAAAATCAAGCAAATAATTACAAAATATTACCTATATAAAGTGATCAGAAGAAACTATATATAAAAATCTCAATCGTGTCAATGTCAATGTCGTAAATTGCAATTATAAAAATAGAGCAGGTTATTTCAGGAGAAAAACCTGTTTGTCAGAGTTTACAGTGATGAATTTATGGGGTGATAGAAATCCTCGGTAACCGACGAAAGTCCAGCGTAGGGTACTTAAACGAATCTGGACAGTTAGAATGTGGGTACAAATCCCAAGATAGTTAAGGCGTCTTAAGCATCTTGTATGTATTCGTCCAATTCTGCACGAACGAGATGTAATTGGGTCTACCATCCCCGCACCCCCTTAACGCGCTCGCAAGCTAACCCGAAGTTCGCAGCCGGGGAGAGATATATACCAGTGTCGTCTACCAGGTGCACTCTCAAGTCCCTCGGATTAAAGTGCCGGGGCGCGAGTGCCGCAGAGTCACTCGTATAACTCGGTAGTTTAAGATTGACCGCGGAGTGACTCGATTACGACATACCTCGGAGCTTCGAAATTCGGTGGATTTTAGGATTTACTGCACCCCGCCGGTAATCAGCTGCATCCCTCGCCCGAGCTTTTTCCGTTCTGTGGATAATTAGGACAGCTCAGCGAAATCTAACCCAAGTGAATCCCTCTTCATTTCAATCCCTCCGGAGTCATTTCAGACAAAATTTTATTATATAGAAACTTGTCTCATAGAGCGTTAAACAATACGTATAATCATAAATATATATACATATAATGAAAAAATATATTTTTTCAAAAAGAGCACGTGTCATTTAGAAGAATTTATAAAATTTAATGAAATGTAAATATAAACCAATGCGACAAAATAAATCTGGAAAAAAGATTATATAATATAACTGGAGCCCATTTATTATTAAATGTTAGCTACGTTGAATGTATTTCTGCGCGATTATATTTCACGACAAATCAAGAATTTATATGAATATATGCGGGGACAAAATGTGAATATATAACGTCGCGGGATGAGCATTGCAGGATTTGTACATCCAATTTCCAGACGACAGGGCTTAATAACCAAGGAACTTCCTACGTATGCGTGTTAATTAAAGTACACACGCGTTACCCGAATTTCTCAAACTTTAACTACTCCTCCGTTGACCGAAAGTTTAAATAGCTCGCTGCACATTCGGCTGGTACGTGAAAACGGAGGATGTAGAAGGCATACTAAACACACATCAACGGCGAAAGGCATGACCCTTTGCATTAGATTTGTAATACAAACGTTCACATTCAATTTGTATTCGCGAATATGTTAATTAATATATCATTGTCTAAATGTTGAAAATAATTATGCAGTATTCACAGTTTCAATTAATTGATTAAAATTATTTATTGAGATAGCAAACGGTCGTAGTTCCGCAACGAAGTTGCTACTAAAGTAGACGTTCATTCGTTACGCAAGAGTGAATACAAACTGACGAGCGATATTTCGACGTTAAGGAAATGTTTCGACATTAAAGGGGAGATGAGAAAAAGTCGAGCTGTCCGCTTTGGCACAGCTCGGGAATTTCTGTTCAACTCGAGAGATGAAGCCATATAATACGTCTCGTACGGAGGCTAACGGGAAGCGAGAGCTACTTCGATTATCCGGGAATTGGTCTTTCATCGTCGCTCTAATTCGACGGTTACGTGGCAGCTTTCCGGAAGACTCACGCGGTTACAACTTTGCAAACAACCAACGATTGTAACGGTTACGACTACGGGGTATATTCCGGATGGAATTTGTCGACCTAGCTCGGTTGTAGTCAACCAAGCAATGCCGCGTGAAGACGACTGAAGAATGGATGCCGCGTTGTGTAACTCGTCACGAGGAAGGAACAAAAATTACAATTTTAATTTAACCTTTAATTAGTCGTGCGAGGTTGTCGCGACTTCTAGCCATACAACATTTTGTTTAAAACTACGTTGTTGCGGGTATTTTCGCGCCTTCTGCTTAACTCAAAGTTAAGCGAAAGAATGAAAGAAACGATTTAACAATCACTCTTGCGATCTGACAGTTATATAATTCACGAATTTCGTAAACGGCGAGCTGTTCAACGAACTCTTCTATCGTCATCTTTATTTTGTAATTTGTTCGCTAAAAATACTTTTCTAGAAATTATTAAAAAATATACATGTAATGATAATAATTTTTTATGAAAATTGATTATGCTTTTAGTAATATAATTTTGAATTAGTAACGCTGTAAGATAAAATTTGTTTTCATTGATAAAAGCACAGTTTAGTGACAATTACAGTAATTAACTGGCAAATGTTTTATTCATGGGAAGATCTAAAAAGAGCACGCAGCAAAACGAATAAACGAATTTTGCGTAAATATTTCATACTCGTATATTTATCGTTGTTTGTAACAGAACTTTGTTGTTATACACGATTACGACAGAAAAGAATCGTAAATAATTTAGCCACCTGCAAATCTGACCGTCCGGTTGACATGAATATTTAACGACTGTTGCAGGCACGTCGCGCAATGCGAAATCTTTCTCGTTCGTCGCACCGTGCTGTTGCACTTTACGTTGGTTGACCCCCTTTTTATCCGCAACGCCCACAATTGCGAAGAAATTGGAGACGACCCAAACGTTTCCGAATGATAAGTGTACTAACTTTTCACCTTCTCGTAAAAATTATTTTTATTCGACGAGGCAATCACGTGGATTAATAAGCTTTGCAATCCCACTAAAAGCTCACCCAATAATTTCAAGTTAAATGAAAAAAAGCAGTTTAGCAACTCGAGATTTGACAAACGAGATTTAAATAAATTCTTTACGCGTATAAAATCATCCTGAAAACGAGATATGCGATATCGTTACTCGCAATCTGCCTCTCGTTACAACACTTTGCGAATTATGTCTACGAAGTGCGAGCTTGCATGTAATCGACGAATGAAGCAATCCTCTCGTGCTGTGTAATCATAAAGTTCGTAACTACCTTTTCGCACGGTCAACTGGAAACTAACCGCTCATGCGATTGCCAAAAACCAAGCCACTATATCGTTAGCACGATCAGTTCAAAGAGAATCTCGTATATGTTTGGGGAAATCCATCATATCTCACTATCTTTTTATCGCTATTACGGTTTTCCGATTCTTTGAACCAGATAGCCTTATCTTTAACATATTTCCGATATTTAGAGATAACAAAAAAAGGAAAGAAAAAAGAAGGAAAATATTATTCCAGATAAATTCATTAATTTAACGTTTATCCTAGTGTCTTACAATTATATTTGCTTGTTAATAATAAAAAAAAAAACACACACAAATAAATGAACGGATCTCTCGAATATTGCGATATTTTTTATATATACGTTAAATATTTGTTACAGTCGAGATATTAAAACCGTTATATTACTCTTTATTCAAATGTACGTATAAATTGTCAGAGACAAACGTAGGTATAATAAATCCGAAGCCAGCGAGACACGAATGTATATGCACGTTTGTTACTTTAATCGCCGGAGATGATAGTGCGGCACGGAATCGCGGTGGCCTGACAACGGTATAACGACGGTGCACAAATAAAAGCACGGTTTCTCGTTAGTTGCGATTGTAACTGCGCTACTGAATGGTCAGCGAATGGAGGAGTGTCCAGCTCTGTAAAACCGCGACACGTCCTTAATATCTCGGCGTTTATATTTTATTTTTTTCGCATTTTCGTCAAATCATTTTCGATAAAAATGAAATATTAAAAAAACCGATAACGGAAAAATTGATAACGAGACGGATGAGACACTCGTTCGAATATTGGAACTTGCGGAGTGAAGCTCCCCAGCGATATAAATCTTCGATCCACCACGTGGATCTTGCATTCAATTTTCGAACAGTCTACATTCAACACAATAATTTATCCCTGCATCCTTCCGATTGAATTAAGAATCCCCCCCCTCTCCCCCTCCAAGCTCTCACTAATAAACTTACGCTCTTATCAGAACGGGACTCTAGTCGTAAGACGCGGACCGGATTTAAGTTGCCCGCGTTTATATAGAGTGTTATCACTACGTGGCGGTTTGCCCGCGACTGAGAGAGCTTTCGGACCAACCCCGTCCGAGTTTCCCGGATCGGCCGCGGTAGCGCTGCGTAACAGAATCCACCCCCGTTTTCTCTCTCCCTCTCCCTCTCTATCTCGATCCTCTCCTCTACCCCTTATTCATTTCTCTTTCTCGCACTCTGGTGTCCCATCAGCTTCCGTTGGCCCCACGACAAAAACAATTGCCTCTCCGTCCCCTTCGTGCACCTCCTCGTCGTACTGTCCGATACGTATCTGCATTCCCTATGTATTAGGTAGTAAAGTGGCTCTACTCTCACCCTCCACCGAGGAAATCTGGAATTCTTGTCGTATTTAAATTAGCGTCTACGGCGACAGTGCTTAATGCCGAGTAAGGGAGGTGCGCCTGTTTCGCGTACGACGACACCCCGGAGCACTTTTTCAGCGCGAGGTCGGTAGTTTGGCGAGCGCGATAAAAGGGCAAAGTCATAAGGTAAATTGTAATTAAAAGTAAACATCACAGGCGAGCCAATTCGAATCATCATTTTATTAATATCGAACCATTTAAGAGATATTCGATGCGGAATAATTGTTTCAAATATATATTTTTTTTATCTTGCAATTAAAAATAATATGTATGTTGTATAATATCATTAACATACATATTATTTTTAATAAATTCATTGACATATCGACATATTTTAATATTAATTTTACAATATCAATATATATAGGTATTATAAATAGAAAATCGTATACAAAATTATTTTAATTAAATTTTTCATTATAATATTCACTTGTTGTATAAACTTGCACATTTAAAAAGATATTATGATAATTTCTTTTAAAATCATTGGAAAAGTATGCTGTTATTGAACAAGAGAAAAATGAGAAAAATATATGTATACATTAATATACGAAATCAGCAATTATTCTAGTTAACTTAGTTAACTTTATAAGATCTAATGGCCAATGATCGTGTGCTTTATTCTATTGCGATATAACACTATACGGATGAATAGCTATCGTATTACGTTGAATGTTGTATTTACTTCGTAAAGTATTCTTTGGCACAGTGATATTCGTTGAGAAATTTAAACAACGAATTTCATCGACGAACTTAAAATACGCGATATTACGCCAGTGAAAGATCCAATAGCGGCACAAGCAATCTCTCTTAGAGCAATCCTTCAACAGAATATTTTTTTTCGAAATTGAATCGGTAACAAAAGATACATAATGCATCAGCGGGCAAATATCTCACGGCTGACAGCTGTGATTTATTCGTTTGATTTTGTTGAGAATGGTCACTGAGATATCACGAACGAAACGTCGCGTATCTACTCTGACGAGGTCAATCGCAGGATATTTCGTGTCGAGGGATAATTTAATGCGAGTGTCGTTTTCTTACAAATTATCATCGTAAAAAGACGACGAGTGGTCGTGATTGCTCAAACCGATAATTGAACGCTTGAACTTTTTTACGTCGTATCGACTCAATGTCATCCTAGAGCTAAGAACGTTTGCAATTTTCCCGAAGAGAGCGTTTCCGGCAGAAAAATCACACGAGCTTTATGCGTGCTTTAAACTGTACTCTTTAACGCGAGCGTATCAGGAAGTGAGCGCCCAGGTCTCTTCACAGGTATTGACTTTCTAACAAAAGCGCTCTT